ACGATTGGCGAACTGTTGGCGGTGCTGTTGGTGGGCGACGGCGAGGTCGACGACGCGGACGACGAACAGCACGACGTCGCGGCACCGGTGGCGGCCGTATACGACGACATCGGAGAGGACAGCGACAGCCGCAGGGTCGGCAGTTTCGTCGCGGGCGATTTCGGTTCGGCCGCGGCGGACGGTACCGCCGCGCTCCCGCCGTCCACGTCGTCGTCGTCGTAGTTGTTGTTTTTGTTGATTTTGTCGTCGGTATTGTTGTTGTTGTTGTTGTTGTTGCTGAGCGATGAGCCGTCGTAGACGGCGGTCTTTGCGACGTTTCCGTCGTCGACGCCGCCGCCGTCGCTGTCTTTACGGACCGCCCTCGTGTCGACACCGTGCGCCGAAGTATCGACGGAATCGCAAGTCGCAGCTGGCGACTTTGACTTGTCGCCGCCGACCGGTACCGCATCGCCGTTGTTGCAATTATTATTGTCTTCGTCGTCCTCTTCTTCGTCGGACGAGAACGACGGCAACGACGCGTCCTCGATACTGGTCGTGCCGCCGGCCACCTGCACGTCTCGGCCGTCGTCCGCCGCCGCCAGTGCGGCTGCGGCCGCGGTAAGGCCTTTGTCGCACGCGTCCGGGACGGCTGCACCGCCGTCGTCGTTCGTCGTCGCGGCGTCCGCTGCACCGCCGGCACTGCAGCCGCTGTCGACGCTCGACGTCGCGGACGGTCGTTTCCCGAACGTCGACATCGGCGGTGGCGGCGCCATTGCGGTCGTGGTGCACCAGTAATAGTCGTCGTCCACTCGGATTTCGCCGATCGTCGTCGCCGCAGCCGCGGTGGTGGACGGCTTGACCGGCTCGGCGCGAGCGACCGGAACCGGCGTCGTGCCGCACCGCTCTTCCGGCGGAGCTGCAGCAGTAACGCTATCGGCACCGGACGCGGTGAAGGCGACTGTTGCAGCGGCGGTTCGCGATGTGACGATCGCTGTCGCCGGAACGGTCGGCGCGACCGTCACCGACGCGCTGTACTTGCGGGGCGGCGGTGGCGGTGGCGGGTTGGCGTGTTTGGGTTCGTCGTTTTTCGTCGGTTTTATCACCGCCGGTTTGCTGCCCCCCTTGTCTTCGTCGTCGTGGACCGTTTTCAACGGGGCCGTAGCGTTTTCTTCCGGTACCGCGATCGTTTCGTCTTTTTCCGATTTCACCGCTCCGTCTTTTTCCGATTTCACCACTTCGTCCTTGTCCGCCGTCACCTGCACCTGCAGCACCACGTCTTTCGCCGATTCCCGCACGACTACTGCGTCTTTTACTTCTTCCGCCGCCACATCTCTGTCGACGGTCACCGTCAACACGGCGTCTTTGTCCGCTCGCATCCGGACGCTTTCCGACGGATTGACCGTACAACACTGGACGCCGCTGTCCGGCGACGAGTGCGCTTCAGCGTCGGCCGGCGACGCGCCGTACTCCAGAGTGCGGTACCGTAACGAGCCGCCGTGGTTCCGGGCCGGCCGTTCGACTTCCGCCTTTTCGTTGACAGTCGTCACCGTGCACACAACAGATTTCTGCACTGGCGGAGCCTTCCCCGCGTGGGCCGCATCGACGCGGCCGCTTTCCACGTCGCCGTCCGCGATCTCCTTCTCCGCGTCCACGCCGCCGTCACCTCCTTTGAACACCAGCTGTCTCTGGTGCCACAGACGTTGCGCTTGTCCGCGGACAGCCGACAGAATGTTGGACTTTGCACATTTTGCCGCGTTGTCGTCGGATTTTTCCGGCGTTCCCGCGGCCGCCGCTTCTCCTTCGGTTTCCAGTTCGACGTGCAACCCGTACTTGCGACTCAACTCGACCAGGGCGCGACTCAGTTCCGCGGCCGGCGGTCTACTCGGTTGTTGTTGTTGGTCCTTGTCGAACACCAACCGCAACGCGACCAACTGATCTATATACAAACAATAAGTAATTCATAAGACGTTATTTTTCCACAATAGATAGGTGTAATATACGTTTATTTTTATTATTTTCCAATTATTAATTGCCCGTCCGTCAATATTTACATTCGTGCAGTTAATGAATCGTGAAATCGCGTTGTATTTCATTCAATTCGGTTCTGCGTCGCAGAATCTGCGTAACAGGCGTAAATTGTGAAAAGGGGAACTAACTAAAAGTGGCTTAGTCACCGTCCAAAAATTGTCTAACTTAACCTCAGTATACCGCCAGTATAATAAATTATGTTAATAGGTATACGTTGTATTAATGTTTATTTTTAATGTTTTTATTTATTTGTCCTCCCACTCAGATTTGTAACCATAATAATATTATGTACTCCAATGATGGGCGATAGGTACGGCGATTAATTTATTATAATAAATAATAAATTTTAATGATTGCATATTATAGTCACGGCGGTCGGCCACTTTTATAACCTATAGCCACAGCGTCGTACACGAGTATTAACAATTAACGGTGTTCTATGAATCGTGTTTCTGGTATTTATTAAATTAATAATATGATTAAAAATATTACCACTATATTATTTTCATTTAAGAAATGTATTCGTCTAAATACAACAACATTGATTTTACGGAAAAATATTAAATTCTAAATACATGTCTATTATTACGCGTACCTATAACTCTGTTTTAAGTTATAATTATTATTAGTTATTAGTAATTTATAACAAACGAATATCGTTTTAAAAATACAATCCAAAAACAAAGTCAATAGTCTAAGTTAAATAAAAAGCTTTAAATCATTGAGCGTAAATTTAACTGTGTAAGATTAGTTGCACCACCAAAACACGCCATACGAAGTGTAGTAAAAATAATTCTTATACTATAATGAATTGTGAAGGTACAAGATTGAAAACTATGAATCATCATCGGAGCTTAGAAGTTATAACACGAAAAAATTACAATTTTTGGGGTTATAATATGCACTTAAAAATACCTAAATTCATTTTAAAAAAATATCAGTAAAATTTGGTAAATATGCAAAATTTAACTATCAAGTAAATTTTTTTAATTTTGAAAAACTCTATGTATAGTTTTTTATTTTAGTATATACAATAATAGGTATTTAGGAACTATTGGTATGATCTAACCCTAGAATGTAAGTACGATGAATCCGATAACTGTAGTACAATGTCTTTGTCCTTTTTTAAAAATAACCAAATCATTAGAAATGATTGGAATAAAATATTAGACGTGATCAGCGATAACAACCGATAATAACGTACCTACTATTTGAAAATCAAAATTCATGTTATCATTTACATTATAATATTTGTATTCTATGTTAGCGTTGTATTGTTTATTTGCTTTATCATTTAAAAATAACTTACACTTAAAACTTTAAATTAGCTAAATAATACTAGAAACCGTAAATAATATATGCATACGTTAGTAAAATTAAATTTCTTATACATCAGGAAACGTATACAATAAATTTTTAACTTTCTTTCAATGTTCCGTGACTTAATAAAAAATCATGTATTTATCAGAACTTCTGAGCTCTGATCATAATCAACTACAAAAATGATTATGAACACAATCATCTGTTCTTTTAAGATTTATATTTAGAAAAACGAATTTTTAACATAATATACATATTAACTATGTGATAATTGTGATATACAAATATACAACAAAATCAAATACTTTAAATGCGACGGTAAATTTATGTACATATGTGACATAATAAGAAAACTCAAAGTTAACTGTAGTTATAAATTATAACTCTTATAAATATTTTACTTCTTCGAATTTCAATGAGTCATAAATGCACAAATAATAACTATAAGAAATTACTAAAATTTCAATTACTTTTTTGAATATATTTAATTTAAACGTTTTATCCGCTAAATAATAAAAAAATCATAATAAATTTATAATACATTTTTTTATGTTAAAAAATGTAATATCGACAAAAATGTCCAATAGATCATATATTTACAAGCTGTTTTATGTAGGTATTTTTTTTAAATATAATAAAATATGTACCTATTTCGTTTTTTGTGCGCCCACCGTGTCAAAGCGTGATTAAATTCTTTCAACACCATGAAAATATCTGCTTATTTACTTTTTAGTACTTAGTAGCCTAATCGTAATAGTTAATTTAATATTTTGTTTAATACCAAACATACCTAACATAATAGAATATAATATATATATTATAAATATCCTACAAGATATATATATATTTTAGAAAAATATGAAATATTTGAAATTTACCAATTGAAAGTAAAATAACTCATTACATCATATGATTATATATTTTTACAAAGAATATATATATCTATTAAATTGTATTTATGAACCATATAGTTAGAATGCTATGAAAGCGTAGCGAGTGAACGGCAAATGCTCAATAATAACTGCGAGATAATGACCTGACCTATTCGCGGTTTTTGGTTTAAATATATCTTTTAATAAATTGTCAATGTTATTAGTTATTACATTGAGTTTTTAGTATACAATATTCAAATATATATAATTTAAATTTGTTATTGTATAGTTAATTGGCTTGTATAAAATAAACATGGGTTTATCTCAAAATTTAAACTTGATTAACTATATTTGAAGTGTAAATGGGTAATATTAACTATTAATAAAATGAAAGTTAAAGTCGAGATGCATCGAATCATAAAATCATCTTCACAATTTTCATATTCTATATAGTAGATAAATGTATATATCAGTGCACATAAATAACAATTTATTAAAAAAAAGAAAATAACCGAATTTGAAAGTATTTTACAATGACAAAATTAATATATTCAACTTCAAAAATTATAAGCATCGGCTATATAATATTAAATTTATTAAATAGTTTATAATTTAAATAATATAGTATGTAATAAATAGTTTTTATACATCAAGCTTTTTATAAGTTTTAACTAATTTTATTGATAACTTAAGCTGATATGATTATTTATTTGTAAAAGAATAAATATTGTAATAATAATATATCTACTAAGACCTAATAATAAACTCTTCTTCGTGTGAAATTTGTTTAATCATATGTAAATATTAAATATAAATAAATACTATCATTTTTTTTTTTTTTTTTTGTAACTAACATAAAAATTGTTTAGTAAATTTGTTATTAGATTATTTTAAATAAATAAATACGAATAGCCTAGCCATTATTATACATTGAACTTAATTTAGATAACTTGAAACATTATAATTTATAACTAATTATACCAACTCGAATATTGAAAATAAATAATGTAAACTAAAGTCATAGTCCATATAGACGTATAATATATATTATGTATATTAAAATATCTACTGTCATTACATTCATGTATATTTTATTTGTAAGAAGATGTTATGGAATATAAAAATAATATAATTCGAAAACTTGTTGGATCCCAGTGATTTTATAGCTTATACAAATAATATTTAAGGATATTTCAACAAATGGATTGCTTTTATTAGCGTAAATGTAGAATAAATGCAGATGCCGGATTTTAAGTAAGAGTAATTTTTAAATTATCATAATGATGTAATTCGGCAACAGGTGACCGGTCAAAATATTTCCACAAAAATATCTCCGGTCAAAATAACTCCGACAAAATATCTCCAATTTTAAATATCTCTAGCACAAAATACCTCCTGTTAAAAATATCTCTAATGGAAATATTTTAAGTCGGAGATATTTTTACCGGAGATATTTTTGTGGAGATATTTTGACCTGGAACCATCACAACGTGTAAGGCAATTAGGAAGCTTATGGAAAATTTGCTCGAAATACAATAAACAACAACAGACAATGATACCGAAACGTTATATTTTTCATTGCTAATACGTAAAAATATATAAATGGGTGTACTGCATTAATATATGGAATACTAAATGGCACCAGTGTCACAGAGAACAAATTAAGAGAAATAAAACTATCATTTCTTTGAACTCCTCATTATAATTTAAGTCATAAGAAAGAAGAAATAAACTAGATAAGATCAGAATTGGTCACATTAAGATCATAAATAGATACTTAATGGTATAGACCGAGTCTCCGTAATACACCTAATTCACGCAATGCTATATATAAATGACTGGTCAAACACTAAGTCCAAATTTTACAGATACTAAAAATGAATCCATCATACTAGAAAACCTAATGTTAGTTAATTACCTTGCAGTAAATGTTCAAAAGAAAAAAAAAATTATTAATGTATTTTAAACTACCATAATTTATTTAACACCACGAGTACTAGGTATGCGTCACCATATAGTAAGTACGGTCAAAGCATGTGATCGTAACTTTACAGTTGTAAACCGCAATAATTATTCCTTACAAGGATTAAATTCCCAAGGCAAATATATATTTTATTGATAATACTTTACAATACCTATAGTTAATTAACCTGGTTTATTTTTAACTGTGCAGTGTTTTAAATTAACCTTTAGGCTCTAACGAAAGCATAATTGATAAATAAAATTAATCATCACAAGACTGTTTTTTTTTTTATACTATATAGTTTGTTACAGTGTATACTATAGTTATAGCACCCAGTTAAAACAAAATATTAATTTTATTAAGTACTCGTATTTGTTAAAATATGAGTAATATAGATGTAAAATAATGATAAATTATCTATTATAAATTATACTTGTACTATACAACTTCAAAATGTCTATAAGATGAATTGTATTGTACGAGTAAATAAACAATATATTATATATCTGCAAAATTTAAGAAATCATCGTCATTGCTAAACATGTATAAATTTGGTTATTTGATTATCGATCATAGAATCAGAAAAATTTTATAATTAATTCAATGAACCATTAAATTGATCATCGCTGTACAAGCCATAGGCACAGATTTAGAAATATTTTTGAAAAAAAATGTTTAAGCTGCCCGAAACGTATTTTTTCATCGGAGAATCAAAAGTAAATCTTTTATTTTTTGTTTTTATCGATTTCTGTTTAAAGATATTTTATTTTTAAGTCAAGAGTATAAAAATGTAGCAAATAAGATTTCTTAAATTTTACTTATAGCAGTTAATAAATATCTAAAATACACGGTAAAAATTGTTTTTTTACAGTTAAAAGTTGATTTTATATTAAATTTCTTTCCCATCTCAATCCTCTTATATCAAATCTAGCTACTCGAACGATTCCGAAGGATTCCCCACGGCGTTTGAAAAGAAATTGGTGTCGTGATTTACTTAATGAACAAATAAAATATATATTTAAAAAAACAACAACAAATAATTAGTACTTTCACTAAATGGCTTCTTCCCTCACGTGTTTCATGTTATAAATCTTCAATTATCACATATTCTTATTGCGCCTAAGGGCTCAGATTGTAAATTTCTTGTTTAAAATAAAAAATAAAATAAAAAAATAATGGTTTTAAGTTCAAATTTCGACGAAAATTGTTAATAGTTAATAATTATAAGCTACAAGCTTATACTCTCACCGTTGAACGGTGTGTTGGTTTGGATTTATAAGTTAAAATAACAACAATTTATATTTAATTTAATGAACTACCACGATTTTATTATTGTATCTTGTATATTTTATGTGTTTTTAGATTTTTAAAAAGAACCTTTCACTATAACAAAATCAACAGTACCTAGATATTATGATGATCAAAATGCTGATTTCATATATACTAGTAAATTTTCTTGTCGATTTCACGAATTCGACATAATATTATGAAATGAATATATTAAATTTATGTACATATATATTTTAATAAATTTAACTTGGGCTTATTCAATTTGTATACAAGTTAAATTATATTTATATATATACATATATATATATAAACTATGAATACATTTTTAAGCAAATACATTGGATTTAATCCATCCAATAACACATAATATGTTATAGGCGTATTTAGCCTTAAAAAGTAAAAACCAATTATTATTTAAACTGTAGTAAATACATGCTCGAACATATTTTAAATTGTTACGTAACTCTATTTAGACAGTTTTTCTTATAATTTCTTTACCTTTTGATCCATCGCTATGTTTACACATATAGATTTTTCTGCCGTATTCTTCTTTTAATGACAATTCATTTTCCAGTGATCCTTCGTTTAAACACGACGAGGACACACGCATGACTCTATTCAATCCTGTTTTTGTGATACAGTCGCCATTATAAGCATCCGCTGAAAATGCCGGATTATCAGTGCCACTATTTTTCACTTGTTGGTTTTTCACAGGGGCTGATGTTTGTAGTACGAGATTTTTGTCTGTTGAAAATTGAAATACATAAAGATTTACATATTTAAAAAAAATAAAAACATTTTGTTTAATAACATAATGCATTTATTTATCTATTTATTTATACGATTAATATATTGTTATGAACCTAACCAAACACAATCTATATGTATAATAAATAAACGCGAAAGTAATTTTATTGTAAATAAATACTAAAATGTATTTTAATAATCCAATATTAGTTAATAATACACTGCTGTCGTCACTTGATTGTTTTTTACGGAAATAGTACCTACAAAGATATCAAATATAAATGTATAACATGAGGAGACATTTGGCGAGACGTCATTAGAAACCATAGCCAACGGATTCCAATGCGCATGTTGTGTCCTAACATAAAATTCCTATTTTCTAATTTCTATTTTGAATTGCTAGTTTGAAATGTTATCATTTTAGGAGTTCATAACACTATACGTCTATGTATTATAAGTATAAACGCGATAAATATGTATAATAATTATAATAATTACCTGAATTGCTTTTCCACCATAACGATGACCAGTCATGCTCTTTTTTTTTACAGTAAACAAAATATATCGCAACAATTGCCAAAACCAATAGCATCGTGCAAAGTACAGTTGTCCATACTACAACAGACATATTACTCGAGCCGCAATGCTGTTGCCCTTCGTCTGCCATCACTGCGTTTTTCGTAGTTATAGTTGTGATGATAAATAATAAATGTAATGCAAAACGCGTGAAAATGTCACTCTTCCACCGTGGCCGGGGCCACCACATTATTAATTTTTGCCACGAGCTCTGTAAGAAAAGTTGTCAAAACACCGATAAGTAAACACAAGAAAAAAACTATAATATTATTATATTATTAAGTGTTAATATTTTGTATTTGTATACGTTATAACTATAATATTACGTTAACTCTATGTATACACATATATACGTACAACCGAAAATTTTTCTTATGGGTAAATTGGCCAATTAACGAACACCTTTCGTCGATCCGATGAAAGCGCTTACCAAAAATAAACTCACAAGCCACGGATGTGATGCTGATGCTGCTATATACCGGCACGCCGTGTTTCTCTCGAAGAATGCAGTTTATCGGACATGTCGTGGGTGCGCCGGGAAAGAGAGAACCTGTCTGCCAGGTACGGCTACCATCTTTGCCTACTTTTACAATCTCGATATATAATATATCGTGTACGATACATAATATACTCACAACTATACAATATATAAACATGTTGCGTGTATATCGGTCTCACGCGTGCGAGATGAGCAAATTAAATAAATATTTTAAATATATACACAAATCTTAGTACCTACATAGTTAAACCCCTCACGCGACGACGCAGGAAGGCAGGTCATAATATGATATTAATTATTATGAACAATTCGTTCTTCTCGTAAGAGGTGGATTGGACACACATTATAAAAAACCACGATACACCGATATTTATTATCTCTGCCCCTGCACACATGATATAAAGTATAGTAAGAGCCTTCTAATGAATATCAATCATAATAATGAGTGACGAGTGATTTTAGAGCCGAAACACGTCCTGATATAAAAGCAAAAGAAAATTGTATTCTCAAGGGCATCTTCATGCTCATAGAGGTATTTTTATTTTCGAAAAGGGAGGGAAAATATAATAATAACTAATAAGTATGCTATTGACGAGGTCCAATCCCAGCAAACTCAGTATCATATATTCACGTAACATACCTTGCATACCATGCATACCATACATACATACATACATACATACATACATACATACATACATCAGTGACTTAAACAAGAAGAGTGTGTGGGTGATAGAGAAACCCCATTTCATACATGTTATATGTAAATTATTTTATAATTAAGTATAAAAATATTATTGCTAAAGTTATTTTTCCATAAATATACATAGTTGGTACATGTATGTATTGATTGGCCAATTATTTTTATTAGATACATTTTTTTATATACGCAATCTCAACTATATTTTAATTTATATATATATATATATGAATTGGTGACAACCCTTTTAAAAAAAATAATACATCACTTACGCTACTGACATACATATAAAGAGGAGAATGGTAACTATGATTCAACATAATAGTCACGATGGTCAGATTCAACGGCCATATAAGGTATTTCATACACAATATGTTACAACTTGTACTATAGCCTATATGTATATATTATACATGGAAACTTTAAAATAAATGATAAGAATGACGAAAATATTTTTATATTTTCACAAAGTTTTCTATCGTTGGGAGATATAATATAGAATGAATTATTATTAATAACCCACGTCTCTAAACCGTGAAATCAGTGTACAAAAATGCCTCATATCGTACATTTTTACATCATTATATATAAAAAATCGATAAATTTGTTTCAGACGATATTATTTTAATTTTTTTTTTTTTTTTATAAAAGTTTCATAGTAACTTTGACAGTTTTATCTTCATTATTACTATACCTCTAGTAGAGGTCCTCTACTAATGTACACATGACATACTATGATATTTGTTTTTGATCATATGGCTTAGCTAAGCAGAGTTTTTAGAACTAATAGAAATTCTAGTTTTACTGCCTTTACATAATATGTATAATCATATTATAAAGGCTAAAGTCAGACAAGGTAGTAAAATCACAAATTATAAAACTCTGATTAAACCTTATTATTATAAATGATCGATTAGCCTCTTGGAAAATTGTTTCTGGAGTTTAGTCGTAAAGAATTTATATCAGAAAGTGTTTTAAAAAAACCTATACATATTATGAAGGATTTGTTATTTTCGAAACATGGCATGCCGACGTTTCTATTTTTAACGAATTCTTCAGTCTCTTGTTCAGTGTCCAATCCTTCTTACCATCCTCCGAGAAAATAATCTCTGTATACGCCCCTAGCTGTAGCATATCATCATAATAATATATATGTACACGCGCAAGCCACGGATATGGTCGACCGTATACCTATACAATGTGATATACATAATACATGTATAAGTACACATCATGTACCTACACAATCTACGACGATGTGTGTATGATATTGGTTCGTGTGGGGATGCACTCGTCGGTGCAGCGGAGAACGCCGGCGCATGCAGCACTCTCTCCCGTGGTCGCAACCGACATGACCTCCAACCGGATACATGTAGCCGTCACCGTCATCGGCCCACCCGCGGCACAATGTCACGGTCACCGTCCGCCAGGGGAACGTGTATTATAATATAGGCAATAATAATGATATGAAACTCGATGGATTTGTTTTTTATAGGTGTCTAGTGCGGTTTCATCGCGGTGAGATACGGCGAGCGGTTCGATTTCTTGCTTAAACTTCGGCGACCGGTTGTGTGCGTATATATCGTACGTTTTACACGTATATTATATTGGTATATTAAGTAAGCGTATCTATATACTCGATACGCAACGAATCCGAAAATGTTTTCCGGCTCTCGCCCCGGGTCCCCGAGAGGTATATGTACGACGAGAAAGTGCCGACATCGGCCGGTTTTCTACTGTAGGTATACGCGCGTCGGGCTTACGACCACCGCGCAAGTACGAGACGTCACCTGCAGGCTGTAGTTCACGTTTATCGTACTGTACAGACATGACCATATAGGCACAAAGGAGACTTAAAACACTCGTTTACATTTCAGTAGCACGCGAGATGTATAATAACATTATAATTTAATATGTTTATATATATTATATATAGTAAGTAGTAACGTATATTATGACATGTGCGTGTATTTAGGTATTTAGTATTAAGTACTACTGGATATAAATTTCGGCGGTATACGATGCTTGATGTGTCTGTCCGATATTTATAATTCACTCGCACGACATATTATGTACTTGAAAGAAATATATATTACACTGAAGTATATATAATATAATAATATATAAAAGAAGCCTAGTATATAGTAGAATAATGACGACGGAGCGGTCAGCTGCATTTCGATGCATCCGGTTACAAGGTGGTATTATTATTAAATATTATTATAGTAATCGTCGTCATCAATGCGTATATATATATATATATATATACGAAAGCAGACCGACAGGGGTTGTACACTTGCGCCAGATGCTTTGTACACACAACCCTAACGAAACCTGTTGCGCTTGCGTAGTGCTATTGTCCTGTTGCGTATATTATGTATACATCATTATTATTATACCTACGTAATATTGTGAACATGACAATGACTGCGGGAAAAATAGTATTCTCACCGCGTACGCATACACATACACGCCGTTTCACACAACAATTACTTACCTATCGTATAATAATATAACTATTACCAACATCGGTGTACAATATATCATGTTATGGTTTTCTCGGGACGATATTATACGCATCCACCGATACTAAATTTATTAGCCGACTGCATAATAATTGGTCTCGTCAGAATTTATTCATATCGTTATTCTATACGCGTGGATAACCGTAGGTATATTTCCGGAGTGCGTCCCGAACGAAAAAGAGAAAATTTCGACCTATATGTTAACAGGTCCGTTTCAGTTAAGCCACTGCAATTAATCGTACATGGGTATATAATATATGCGTTGCACGCGGAACCCACGGATTATCTATATATATATATATATATATATATATAATTATTCGAGCGCGATATGCACTCCAGATACATTATATATTGCAAATTATACGTAATACTTAATAAATCGAATACGTAATTAACTTACAATGCTATTTAAAAATGTCGCGCAGGTTTTACATAGACGATAAGATATAGGTATCGTGTAAGTACCTATAATTGTACGTAGTATTTATACTCACTCGAAATGTCGACGCTTAAGCAGTGTTTCGTGAATAACAAGATATGTCTGTTCGTCGCCGTCACCGCCGCTTATGCACTGCAGCCGTAAAATGGTCCCTCGGCGAAAATCTGTTTCGATCGGAAAAACAAAAATTAAACTTCATAGTTACATTTTATGATATAGATGTACATAGGATGAGTCACGAGCGCAATACATTTCGGCGGAACGCGGTCATTACGATCTCCGTTTTCCCACACGATAATAATTTAAATACCGCATCTGATCATATCATTGTAATTATTTAATATAACACAATAATAATAATAATAATAATAATAATAATGACCATAAAACAATACCATGTCACTCGCAACCGTACGAGAGTACCTCCCGAGCGTGGGTATAACGTTATAGATTATAATATTAAAACAAACACAGCATTCAATACGATAATATCCTATTAGGATACTATTAAATTATGCACTTACGGGTTAGGTAGACGAGCGGTAGACAATGGGCGCGCGCCAATAAAATATGCGTTAGGTACTTTTAAAAACGAATGATTAAAACAGTATTGAAGTTTCGGCGGCGGTGTGTTTACGGTAATAATGGTAATGTGTATATTATTATAATATTGTTGCGCTGTCTGCACTACTCCGCGGTGTGCGTATCCACTGCGCGCAGATCGACGGCGATATTGCGACTGACTCACGTACCGCACACCGCACGCGAGAAGAACACGGTACGACTGCGACCGCCTACCCCGCCGAGACGCTCTTCGCCGGCACTGCGGGAAAAAAAAAAAAAAAAAAACATACACGCGGCGGCCGGCGGAATTGTGGATTTTCGATGGAGCGGCGGCGCGCGTATAAAATTTCACTATTCGCCCGCGAGCCGCATGCCTACAACTTTTACGCCGCCCCTCGTACGCGCGCGCACACACACACACACACCGATCGCGCCGCGCGCACGCACGTCTCACGCACACACGCAACGACGATTCTGGGCGGCGTGCGTGGTGTGTATAATGTTATTATTATTATTATTATTATTATTATAATAGAACTGTTACGTACGTTTTTCGGGTATGTCATTATAATATTATCGTCGTAGCGTAGTCGTCGGCGCGCGTAGTCGGCGGCAGCGGTGGCAGCGGTGGCGGCGGTGGCGGCGGTGGCGGCGGTGACGGCGGAGGATCGGCCGGAGGTGTGCGGCGGCCCCGCCGCAAACGTTTGGTAGGCGACGAACAACCGGTTTTCGGTCGCCGCCGCCACCGCCGTTTGGCTTTTCACTCGAAGCGACCAAAATAAAAAAAAAATAAATAAATAAAAATAATAAAAAAATAAAAAAATATGATAATAATTTTACGACGGACAATACGCGCGATGATCCCGGGCTGCTCGTATCGTCGCCGCCGTTTATGAGTGTGATATGTTTTAAAGCGGACGCACGAGCGACACATACGTATATATGCCTACCATCCCGCCTCGAAATTACCATATTTAATTTGGATTTCCGTCGGTTTCACGCCGTTGCGACGTCGTCGCCTGGTACCGCCGACCAGTCCGATTAACGCGCTTTTGTCAGCCCGCAGATGAATAGAACTTGAACGGTGATTACGACGTGACGTTATTACGATTTATGTAGGCGAGTTGCATTGTATGCCTACGCGACGACGGTTACGCCGACTTACCCGTCAATTCCCGTAGGTACCCGCGCCGACGGACGTGGCTGACTGTATAATAATATTACGTATATTATATTATTATTAAAGTGTGTGCGACGAGAACAATTCGGTGTTTAGTGAAAACGTATGAAAAAAAAAAAATAAAAAAAAAATGAAAAACATCTATCTCTCCGTAGCACAATATACAATGTTATTAAACCCACATTATTATTATTATTATTATTATTATTATGCGGACAGGTATGCTTACAGGTTCTGGCGAGTCGTTAATATAGAAAGCTAAAGCTGCGGTAGATAAGCCGCCGGGAGTTGAGGGGTTCACACGCACGGATATGATATTATTATAGGCAGTACAAATTGGTCGTATACATAGAATACGCGTTTTTCTTTATTTTTATTACGATTATACTACCATAGTAAAACGTTTTTATGTACCAATACATATAGATTGCGTATTTGCGTGTATTCCATTTCGACCGTATGGCGTGTCGACCGCATACTAATTATTAACAACAATAAATAACGTATCGTTGAAACAATGGGCGCATAATATTGTGGGCACGATGTGACAAAACGCCGCGCCGTGACCACTTCATAAAGTTTAATATCTGACAATATACGATCGATAAAAGATATTCGAACGACGGTTCGCATCAGTCGTATTTTTTAACTCGTAGGTACAGCGGTGTGAATTGGTTTCGATTTCTAGCGGCGCAGAGAAGTATTTTATCGTCCGACCCACCAACGCTCCAACATTCTCGATAAATCTCTGCCTGATAAACGCCCAATTTCCGTCACCAACAATTTGGTTTTTTTTTTTTTTATCTTTACAAGAATAAAAAATTAATATCGAATAGTAAAGACTTTATTATCGTCCATAGTTATTAAATTACTTAAACACTTATTAAATCCTCAAAAGAAAATAACGTAACGGATTGTTTGCCTACGGGAAAATATTAAAATATCGCTACAGATGAAACCACGAAAGTGTCACTAATGAGAGGCTCATTATACAAAACAAATCTTTAGAATAGTTTAGATCGCATACCTAATACAATAATAAAAAAATTGGGAAACCCGTTTTGCTGTTTAGTAGTTCTCACTTTTTACACGTAGACAAGTAGGTGTTTAGAGATCAACTAAACATAAATTGGATATGTGAGCCCTACAGCATAAAGCAGACAGCGGGGGACAAAGAATGCCAACCGGCGTAATTCAGCCCAACGTAATGACGTATACCTATATTCCCTTGTGTGTGCCTTTCTACGTCGTACAGAGAAAATTAAAATTTCGTACTTATTAAATAATTGTTTACTTTTGAAAATATATAGGCAGAGATGACTAATACGACGGATCCTTACACATTTTCACGATTTCCGGGTGATGTAAAAATATGTCTGTGCTGGTCAATTTACGATAGGTACCGACGTTGACGATGTTGTGTATTATTTAATATGAAAAAAGATTTAGTTACTGCCGAACAAACAACTTACAGCCAAAATCGTGATAACTATTGGTTAAAGTCTTGAAGTTTTTTTTTGTTTTTTGTCACAAGTTAGGTACCTACGCAGTACGCACTCAGAACATAATATTAAAAGTTTGCATTTTAAAAACGGGCTTACGCGGAGACTATTTGGCTCACATAGAACGAATAACTTTTTGTTCATAATATTGTGTTTTAATTGGTTACCTGTATTTTATATTTGGTTAAAACCGCCCAAACGATGATTGCGTTTAAAACCTGTGTAAATCATTATACGTTCAACGGAGTTCAAGACGAGGTGAACGCCATACGGGATCAGCTAATCCTAAACACATCATAATTTGGCACCAACATAGCAGTTATTTTTATTTTTTACTTACTCGATTTTTTTTTTTTTCTTTATATTTGGATATAATAATATCATTATCTACTACACGTCGTCGGCGAAACACGAATTGATATTACTTCGTTTACCGATCCAGTAGCGGTAGGACGCAGACCGAGACATAGATGGCGCGGCGTCAATAACGTCTGCCATGGCAACTAAAACTTGTAATATAATCTCCATGCCCTGCGGCATCCAGGACGCTATACTGTACTGAAAATCACGAAGTGATATCACGTGGAGCGGGAGCATAGCGTAGCGTTAGTGCACTACGCAGTCCGATTTTTGATGTTTGTACTTCGTTCAGTCGGCTATTTTTCGACGACGTTTTTCGTCTTTTATTACCTCGGATGACTGTTATGAACCGCACCAATGTCTATTGAATTTACGTTGTCCATTACCATCAGCAATTTTTGCATGTGCTCGATCATGGTTCGTTTTTCCATGAGAGACATGTTTTAGCACCGTCTCCGCATTATGCGTTTCGCGTACCTTTACTTACTACAACTATAGTATTTAAAGGCGTCGCCGCCATGGACGTAACTGTTGATTTGGATCCCAATGAACCGAAACGAAAATGTCTCACCATATCTGAGTATAATGCAATGGTTGATTGGATAGACTCGTTGATCAAAAACAACCGTGATTTTATTCTAAACCGGTATGGTCTGCTATCCTCTAACGTACTCAATAGATATCCACAGTAAGTTATAATATAGGACTAATGCTTATTTTATTTTATTCGTTCTATAATCTCTTTTATTGTATTGTTTGTCAAATAGTTTACACAAAAACACTGTATTAAGTATTGTCGACGGTCGAATTCAACTATATGTTCGGCAGCGACATCATAAAGTCTTTTCCAGTTCTTCCAATGCTAATTCCCCTTCACACTCTTCAGCCACATCTCGGACTTCAGCTACTGCAAAATCTAAGTTATTCATGAATCATCGTCAGCAAGATCATATTAATAAACAATTAATCAATTCTACAAAAACAATAAATGAGAGGCAAGACATTTTTTTATCCAGTATAATCTAATTTATTTTGTTTTGTATATTAATAATAAATGTATCTATAGGTACAAGGAATTAGTAGCTAATGGTGCTGTATCATCTCCATTAATTGCATTGGCTGATAAATTGTGTATGCCAGCTATGTTGGTCGCAAAAACTATTCTCACTGAACAAATAAAAGAAAAAAGATTGAGAGAGAAACTTGAACGGCAAAATCTTAACATTGACGATAGTTTAAATAGTAGCATATTAATTGATACAAGTGGTGTATCAAATGTTAGCAACTCACAAAATGATAGTTATACGGAGTTGAAACAAAATGTAAGTGTCAATGACTCGACAGCTAAAGAATTGGATACTTCGTATAGTATTGATGAACAGTTATCTAAACAGTTAAACTGGCTCACTTGTAAACTTCGTTCAATGCATAAATCTGAATCAACATTAAATCAATCTGATAATAGCTTGATTAATACTAGTCATTCATACAGTATGCCACCAACTAATAAAAGTTCGAATTTAACTCCACATCAATTAGCATCGTCTACTTGGTTGATACGTAAAGATCCACAGTTGGCTTACGAAGTATACAAAGCTTCTGTTGTTGATGGCCATTATGGATCATGTGTGGAATTTATTAAAAGGTAAAATTTATTTAGTAATTTTGATATCGATTATTATTATTATTATTATTATTTTACCACATAAATTATTTTACAGCTGCAATGGCAAGCGTTTTGAACAAATATTGAAACAAAATATGACACGTTTGACTAAGTCTCAGACAAATAGACCAGAAAAAAATTATACAACCGAAAAGGAATGTCGCCTTCGTGGTTTGGATATGACACCTGATATGGTTCTCAACGAACCTATTGCCATTTCCTTATCTGACGTTGAAAATATGAAATATAATCAAGACTATATAGCAACTAATTATGTGGGAGGAAATGAAAATGAAATTAAAGTGTTAAATTGGATAGAGTCAAAAGCAATGTTTGGTGGCCCAGATCAATTACGCAAAGCTTCTCAAAGTCAATTATTTCCTTACTGGAATCGTTACGGCCCAGGAGCTGTAATTTATTGGTTTGGACATATTTTGGAGGATCACGAAAAATATCAAGGCGTCCATGCTGGTGTTTCAATAAAGAAATGTAATACTGACAGTACTTCCACAAGTGTTACTTCGCCAGCTAAAATTGATTCAGAAGAACTGTTTGCATTCAATTTTTGGTCAAAATACTGTTTATTAATGGACGGATTTCCTGCCACTAATAAAATTGTTATGCATAACCGTCAAAATGGTTTAAAAAAGAAAAACTCAACTACAGTTACAATATCAGTTTGATTTTTATAAATTAACAATTTTTTTTTATTTTAAATTAACACATTATATTTTTTATTTTAAGTACACACACAAAATTTGTAAGACCTGATAAAATAAGAAAAAGTAATTTACATGTTATTATCTATAATAAAGTATAGAATTCATTAATACAATACAATTAATTTACATTTATCAAAGTAAAATTATTTCAGTCGTTACAGTTATGCTGTAATTAATAAAGTTTTATGCGACAGGTTAAATTTATTTCAAGTAGCAGATTGCTTATAAGATTTAGTGTTCAAAATGCGAACGCCACACATGGCGCATATGCCTTTCTTGTACGCGCAACCTTGACAATAATGTCTGCCCGGTTCGTGGACCTTCTGTTTGCATATTCTGCACGCACCAAACGAGTACATAACCGAAGATGATCCTGTCTTGAGTGCGGATTTCGAAGATACTTTTGAGCCGGACAGAGTCTTGATTTTTCCGATAGTTTGTAAATGTTTGTTGTCCTGTTTACTTACTGAATTCGTATCGATAGCATTACGACATCCTTGTTTCCAGGGATCGGGAGTGGCTGTCACACCCAATTTTTTCTCACACTTCTCGCACACCATTTTAAACTAAGAAATGTAATCGTTAGTGTTGGTGTTCACAACAACATCATCAATAATGTTTTGTCGCACAAGTGTAAACGGAAAATGTGATAATTCTAATGGGTGATAAGGACACATCTTATGATAAGAAAAGGAAGCAGACAGTGGTACCGTGGAGGTAAACAATAATTTATCCCGTGTTCGAGAAATAAAATTTTTATTTAAAATATTTATTACATGTACATAAATATAGAAACACATAATTGACATAATATACGTACAGGTATTTCTTTTGGAGCAATATGGTTTTTATAAATATAAATGTATAATTTAAGTACTCTATAAGAATCATGACGTATAATAATAATAAATGACAATACATCGTGTAAAATAATAGTTTACTATAATATGCGCAGGGCCCTAGTACCTACGCGTTATTAAATCGCCTAGAATATTATCTTTATTTAATGTCTGCGCGACAGTATTAAATCTTCGTCGCGAGATTATTCACCATGATTTAACGATCTAACCACTAAATTAATAATAACTAGTAAAGAATATTTTGTTTGCAATGAAACGCGGTTATCGAGTACATGGGTAATATTCCGTGTGCGTGTTCGGATGCGTACCGTTTCACATACCTACGTTTCCCTGTTTAACAAAATACGGGAAAACGTCAGAAAACGATGATGGTCGCACTCGTAGGTACACGCTCGCAACACGCAATGACCAATATAAAAATATGAAATACGTTTTTGACGTTAAATTTAAATTGCGTAGCACGACGACGACGGATTGCACTGGTATTTAAAACAATTAAAACTGAGAAAATAATAATAAAAAAAAAAAAAATATACAACGGCATTACTGCGATGAAATCGCATGCGCGGCTATATAAGTGGATATTATATAATAGACGTACCCTGTGTAACCTTACATAGACTTTCGGACGGACGACGATAAAAACTAAAGTAAACGCTAAAGTATACAATTTTTTTTTTTTTTTTTTAAACACTTAATCATTTAACTCACTTAGCACAATATGATAATAAATAATGTATAATTATTATCCTAAAATTCGCTATAACTTAAGGCGCGTGTATTTAAAATGCGTATATGTATGTATGGGTGTGTGTATGTGTGTGTGTGTGTGTGAGTGTAAAAATTCAGCACAATATTTCACAACTTGTCGACAATCTCGTACTTTTTACGGAAATCTAATGACCCGTCAGCGGCCCCGGAGCGTCGCGAATCTTGCTTCTTGCGTTCGGCCAATCGTCGGCGCAACTCGGCAGCCGTCATGTTCAGATTTAACGTCGTAGTGGTGGTGGATGAAGTCGTAGAGTTTGCGGGCTTTGCAGTGTCGTCGCTTTGATTTGGCTGCAAAAACAGTAAAACACATCGAGAAACGAGCACGTTTAATACATGTATTAATTGAATTACATGATTTAAGTTTGTATAACAATTAGAACGATTACAATAATTGAAAAATCCTGTGTTGCGACCAGTGCCGGATTATAAATTTAACATCGCCAGCTATTACTAATAATTTTGTATATTATCCTAGAGAGACACACTATACACTAGACATAGACGACGGACGTATCTAAAAACATGTTTACCCCCACTATGCATAAGTTTACCTTGAAATTTTTTTTACATTTTACGAGATTTTTTATAAATTGATATATTACAGTAATGTTATTTAGTTAGGCTTGTCTCGAAAACGGAACTAAATGTAAAGGTTGGCGGTTGTCACCCCACACCCGTGTAGGTATAACAAAATAAAAAACAAACAAAAAAGAAACTACAATAAAACAGTAGGTAATACCTAAAATTAAAGATAAAATTATTACTGATGAGTGATAGACGATACCGAAAGTATACACAATAATATTATCAAGATAACATCAGCGCATTATATATTCTCGATTTCGAGTCTTTGGTGGTCAGCTATTGTTAACTTTAATATTATCGTTAGAATTGGCCCATTCTAAAGTTAAGAACAGTATATGTTTAAGTATTTAAAGTTTTATACGATGGCTCTTTTATGTAATATTTCAATTTTTCTGTTGTGTAATGATCATTTTTAAACTGTTGTATTTTATAATGTACTCATAACTTTCATACAAATTGAAATTTTTATAAAAACTAAAGTACAAACGCAGATAATTTCCTTATCTTTAATAGTCTGATAAAATGACAATTCACTCTAATATGAAAGTTAACAGCACAGATTGGTTTTTCTAAATGTATATTTGCCGTGTTGTGTATAGTTTAGAGAGAGAAACAGAATATAGTGCGGCAGTGCGTTGACGACTGACATCCAATTTAATACATTTTTAATAACAAATCTAATTGGTTAACAAATAATTACAATATGTTTAGTTGCAGCAGCTGTGGGTTGCAGTTGGTTAGATTAAAGTGATATCGAAAAAAAAATAATTCTTATAAAGTTAAAAAAAATCATCATATTATTATTGATTATATTTTACAATTTATAATAATTGATGAAAAAACGATTTTAATTATTATAAACGTTTATGGGCTAAGAGGATTAATTTTCATATTGCGCTTATGAGTTACACGAAGCTAAAATATATTTAAGTAAAAAGTGGACGGAGACTGTAAATCGGCCATAGAAAACGTTTATAATCTAGTTCATAAATTATCGACTTCAATGTAATGTGAAATTATAATTAATGGCCCAAATTTCGATTTCTACATCGTCACCCTGGTCAGTCCATCCCTGACTGCAGGCTTTTTTTCTAACGGACAATGGGAATCAAATTATAACATTCTATATGATTCAAATTTATTTAAAAATGATTTAATATATCATATAATTAATTTTGAGATAAAATATCTATACATACGATTTATTGCAACTGACCGTGTGACCACATAAAATTGCTATACTATGTGTTAAAGTATCGTTTATGATTTACGTACCTGCTGTGGGTTTTTTTTTTTTTTGACATGAAATTGACACTTCCGTAAATAGAAAATGTTAAGTGCCTACCTATCGAATTATTGAGTACTGTTGCAATTTATGAGTACGTTACGTGGCGAAAATTTTCGGAAAATAATATTTGTTTATTTTGCAGGTACATCGTATTACGCACCATTTTCGACAAAGAAAAACTACAGTATTTTTTTTGATTATACAGAAAATAATTAGTACCTATTATTATTAAAATACATTTCTAATTGAATTTTAATATTTAATAATATATTTAATGACTGTATAGGTACATAATGATTCTAATTATGGTTTGGTTTAATCGCACCTATTTGTAAGTAAAGTATTTGTAACGGACATCTTTCTGGTAGGAGACTCTTGATATCCAATTAACGCGATATTTACTATACACCTAATACTTAGGTATATTACGAATTGATGTTTAAAACTATAGCTGGTTTAAGAGAAATATGCAATTAATAACCTTAAGATATTTAAAATATAATTTTACTTTTCGTTTGCGCTGTGTTTAAAAATATGATAATTATGAAATCCAATTTGTGTAATTACCAATACTTATATTTACATATGATTACGTATTTATGTTATACCAAACTACTTATTAACATTATTTTTAAAATATAACCATAAAAATACATAAATTATAATTAAAAAACAAAAAAGTCTCGTTTGAAACCACCGAAACGAATTTCTAGTAAACTTATAAGACCGTTTCATTTTCACGTCATCAAATACGATAAGCATTTAGAGAAGTAAAAACGATAAATGTGTTTAAAAGCTCGTTGTTTTATATAGTCGTCTGTACGACATAATGATGTATATAGACATATAGTTACTATTACATTTTTTAATTCACCTTATTACACGTCTACACGTCTCTCATACCAAATCGAAGGTACACAGGTCGTGGGCTAGGCACATATGTAAATATATTTTATCATCACACCTATATCTGCAATATTTTAAGTGCCTATATGGAATAATCTGCGTGCAGTGAGCGCGCAATGAACTGAGTAAACATTTTATGACGTAAGTCGTATACAAGTAGTCCAAAGGCTAATTTAAGTGGAAAATCTAGTCGACTATGACCAACTGCCACCAAAAACGTATCATGTTGCCAGAGAGGTCGTTAAAAGTATGGGAGGTACCTATACCTGTTTACGAGTCTGACATTTTTCGTTCCGAAATTGTATTTTACCCGTTTATCACACTACCCATTGTACCACTGTATTCCGTAAATATCTACTTTTACGTTTCGTGCATACTGTAATCGAATTATCGATGGCGTGGTATTATAATATAATATTTTTAGGTAGGTACCTGTGTACGTTCCGAGTTACTGTAACATCCGAGTTGATGAAACGTACCTACGTGTGGGTATAATATTATGTTATACATGAATATAGTGGGGGCGTCCTCGACCGCGTTTTTCACGCGTCATACGGCGATGCCGCCAGAGTCCTTGGCTACAACCGCCGTCTGCCACCCACGCCCAACCGTTGGTCACAGCGACATTATAATATTATTCTAATATGTATGTAAGCATTAAACATGTTTACAATAAAGATTCCCGTGGCGAATCCGACGTCGCGACAGGCCCAAAATTCCAAACACTCTTAGACGCGATCGAACCCCACTGCAATGATCCGTGCCCATGTACCGGGTGTAGACCGACTACGGAAATAGTATGCATTTTTTAAGCACGGAAAGCGGTCCAAACATGACTAACGTGGCACTATAGTCTATATGTGTACACTGTGTGGAAATACTAATTATATTAACGCGACGGGAAACAAACTCGCCTGTTGTTTTGCACCTACATCGTTGGCGGCCGCCGTCGCCGCTGTGCTCTTCGGGCTTGGCGCGTTCTGCGGCTGCAGCGCTAGACATTCGGGCGTCGGCTCCTCGGGCGTGCGCAACACCAGTACCTGCAGTCCCATGTCGGCGTGCACCCTGATGCCCTTCTCCCTGTAAAACGTGTCGGCCCGGCGGTCTACCACCAGCAGCGAACAGCGGCTGACCGAGTCTTCTACGCCGCTGTCGGTGGTCGCCGAACCCTTCTTGATGCGGGCGACCACCTTGGAGTGGGTCTCGCCGTCGATGTCCACCCCGTCCACCTGGACGATCCTGTCGCCCTCCCGGAGACCGGCGCTCTCGGCCGGGCTGCCTCGGTCCACCTTGCCGACGAACTGTCCGCCGGAGAACGGCAGACCGCCGTTGGGCGACGACGCGGACGTTTTCGACTTTTCGGCGTGCAAGTTGAACCCGTACCCGTCAAAGTGCTCGGGCCAAGTTCGCAACACGCACAGCCGGACGGTGGGCTCGGCCACCTGCTGCGGCTCCAGTTCGTTGACGTCGTGGGACGACATGGCTCTCGTGCTGCGCGGACGCGAGTCGATGTGGGCTGGGCTATGGGTTCGCAGCCTCGCGATAATTCTCAGGACCTCCCGGGTCGGGGTTACGTCGCGGTGGACACGATTTGCGGTGCGACTGATGATCGGACTCGAGAGCGAGACGTCCGGCGACGATGAAAATTAGAAAAACACCTGTTGGCGATAACTGCTACTCGAGTACTGCTAGCAAGACTCGGTAACGGGCGCTGTACACGGTACAATGTTATACGGCTAATGTACCAGATGTGTGCGACGGCCAGGTGGCGGCCACGGTTACGGATAATTATTATGCGTTACACGCTGGCGTCCGTTGCCAACATCAACACGACCGCGTTATCACGTTATCAGTCTCGTGTCAAATACTTAAAGACAATGATATTATGTCGATATTTAAAATTTAATATATTTCATATTCTAATGTAATATATTAATTACCTATTTGACATTCACTCGTGCTTATCGCAAAAAGTGCTGACCACATATTATTAGGATATTGGTATAATTGAGAGTTTCGACGAGGAATTAACAACGTTACGTCGAAATAATATTCAAATAAAACCATTATTATTATTGCTAGGTAATATTTTTTATTTTAAACACACACGTTGGTTGTATTCCTACTTTAGAATTAAAATAAAAGTTCTATGTTTGAGAGACACTCGCCACTGTTATTAAATAATTTATATTATGAAATGCTCAAGGTTTCTACTAGAGCAATTACGTCTGAGTGTTTGAACGTTACGTCTCCTTCATTGAATGATTTCAAAAGTTTTTCTTTGTCTGTGACTCCAGAATCTACACCGTAAAATATACGCAACTGGTTGACAAGGCAAGCTGCTTCAGCAGCAGATAATAGTTTTCCATCATACGTAGATCTCATCAAGACATATGATTCATTATCAGATTCACCGTTTTCAATAGCTTTATCACTGTTGCAAAGGTCAGTATAATATTCAATGGTCATACACTCAGGTGCATTTTCTTTAAACGTCTAAAACATATTACAAACAAACCAAATATGTAATTAGATTAATTTATTAGGAAAAAAGTATATTTTTTTCCCATATTAAGCTGTTTTAATGTCATCATCTGTTATCATCTTAAGAAGACACTACATTTGTTGTCTGTCTCACAGATGCATAACATAGCAAATTTAAAATCAGTAGTTTATGTTTAGCTTCAATAGCTTTAATGTTACAATAAATAGACCTATTATTAAACTTAATGATAAGAACTTAATCTATGTCCGTATGTAGGTTTTTAACAATAATTCTGTTTTTAAGAGTTTTGAGTATTTTTAATTTGTATTATTTTATATACTCAAAACTTCTTAAAAATTGAATTATTATATAAAATCTACATAGGAATACAGAAAAAGTTATTACCATTCAATTTTATATTAGGTAGGTTGTTTTATTCTATTAATAAACTTAAAAAAATTACCAGTCAACTGTTGAGTATAGATTTGCAATGTTACTACTAGTATGACAGAGATAACAAATACCAGTGCAGCGTCCTCTTAATTACTATTTATTACATTGAAACAAATTAAAAACAATTTTTATAATTTTTAACATCAAGACTTCTAACAATATAATTTATCTTGTGCAAAGCTTTAGGTTTTTAGGTATATTAAAAATAAATGATTGTATAACAAAAACTATATGTCATAAACTAGAAAATTTTAAACTAAAAAATTAAAAATAAAATAAAATAAATCATGTAACATTTAAAACAAAAGTAATTTTAAGTTAATTTAATTTTTAACTACTGTTATTAAAACTTTAGTGATATTAAATGTTTAAACAATAAATTATAACATATTAGTATTATTCATCATAATACAATTTAAATGTTTACCTGATAACTAATCAATGGTGTCAAGTGAACTGTACAATTAGATGTTGAATGCTCTTGATAGTGCTGGAACTGGGCAAATATGAACTCGTAACCACTAGTGTTGCGTGGGAGTGGTAATATGAACTGAAAATATACACTATTGAAATCATTGTATTTGAGAATTTAGAAAACATTTGAATACCATCGGATATTTAATAGATTGGTTATAAAATTGTTCAAACTGGTTTAAAGGAATAACTGCACTCAAAGTTTCATCACGTGTCCTATGATATGCCAACCATATTTCAGTTACATCTCGCCATGATTTGTCACGTAGCAATTCTATGTTCATAACTTGATCTAAAGTCTTTAAATCAATAAATGTTAAAATTATACATTTGAAAAAATGTGCTTAGAAATTTTATATACTTTTGGTTTGATTAGTAGTGTTTGGGATGGTCTTCGTTTTGGTTTTGCTTGTGGTTTAGTTTCAGTACTGCTAATTTTGTCAGACACAACTTTCGGAGTATTTACTTCTGCCGCATCAACAGAATTAACATTTTCTTGTTGTTTTTTACGCAAGCGTTGTAATGCTTCTTTGTAGGCACTAGCATTTTTCCTACGGTAAAAAAACAAAATATTATTTTTTACCTTTGTATAATTTGTGATAATTAGATAAGTATAATATTTTTTTTTACTTTTTAAGATCTTGCAATTTCTCAGCATAAGCTGTATAATATGGGTTGTTTTTTAAAGTGTCATCTCCTTCACTGTCTGAAGAAGACGATTGTTGTTGAAATGAACTAGATCTTTTAATTGTTTGAGTCAATCCATTGTTATTAGCCACCGCATTTGAAGCAACAACTTTTAATGTATTACTGGAGGTTGCTATGTGTTGTTGAAACTTCAAAAGACTATTATGCAACATATGACGATTTAACGCCATCAGCATTTTGGTGATGTTTGATGAAAATTAATTTAATTATGTAATTTGAAACGAATCAAATATTTTTAAATAGATTTATGAATTACTTAACATAATTATAAAGAGGTCCGTAAAAAATAAAAATTAAAAACTATATTCGCGAGTTTCAATGACTGATACTATCAAATTGATAACGATAACATAATAATAATATAGTGATAATAACATGAGTTTACTTGATTACTTCAATATAGACGGATACTCATACTATAATAGTTAATTCTAAATTCTAATTAATATTTTAAATTCTAAGACCCTCGGTGGATATTATATTTTATAATACCATTGTATTGATAATTGTTTATTGTTCAGTGATTAATGATTATAGTAAACAACAATAAACATCTTCAAGAGACAAGACACAACTAGTAACTATACAAGTAAATACTAAGTAGTAATACATATAATCATTTGAATCACAGAACAATAGCACAGACTATAGTCTGTAGTTCAATATTAGTAAACTTTTTATAAAAAAACATAAAGTAATAACAAATGACTAATAATTATTTTTACGAATTTCTTTTAATAAAGTATTAGTAAAATATTTTTTGAATTTTATAAATACCTAATGAATTGAATAACAAAGTAAATGCCAAAATCAATTCAAATATGAAAACTAGCATTATACTTCTGATTTGGCATACTAAAAGTAACAGAAGTTCCGTTTACCAAATTTTAAAATGTTTGTAGAGCTGTGAGCTAAAAAAAAAAAAAGTTTTCTTAAAAAATTATTATTAAATTAAGGTTATTGATTAAATTGTTGAACGTAAAATGCATGTCCTGTTTATATTATAAAATACATATATTTGTTACAGTAAAATTAATAAATCAGTATTATGTTCAGGAATAATCTTAAAGTATTAAATGATACATTTCCATTGTTTTGAACCATTTATATGTAAAAATTATTTTTACAAATTTACAATTGTTAATTTACTGTTAAACATTAAGTAATAATAAACTAAATAAAATTGATGTTTGTTTTGTTAGAAACAGCCAAATATCATCACGTTGATTAAATGTAATTATAAAATAATATGATAGATATCTAATAACTTGTGTAAAATATCCAAATTGTAAATGTTTAAATTTTAGGGGATTTTCACGTCTAAATCTTAATTTTCACCTATATCTGCTTTATTATAATTGTTTTAAATATTAGTTTTTGTTACTTATTGTTCATTATGAATTTAAATACTTGTAATGGAAGAAAATAATTATGATTATACCCTAATTAATAAAGTATAAAATTATCTTTAAGAGCACATTATATATGTGTGTAGGTATTGACTATCTTACAAATAATGTACATGGCAAATTTGCATTTAGTAAAATCTATTTTGTGATGGTAATTTTACTATTACAGTAAATTTATTTATCATCAAATTAAAAGTAAGAATAACAGATAATACTGTTTTTAGAAATAATTATTGTTATATTATAACTGAAAAACAAAATTAATTTTATAGAACTCAAATTTATTACGGTGTACATTTAATGTTTGTGAGATGGGATCAACACATCAGGAATCATGATCATGTGTACTTAATCGTCAATGGAAATTAAATTGAAAATATTTGTGATAACTAGATTCAATAAAATAACTTCTTCTTTAAACAGCTATGATAAATAGCATTTACCAATCTTCATTATATATTTACTCTTTAATTGAAATGTCAAGATATTAGATAATTCATGAACTGATATGCTACTTAGTTATTTAATAGTTAATACTTATAACTATAACATGCACATGTCCACAAGGTATTATTGAATATTAGAAACCGTTAAGTGGTTATTGAACCATAGGAGGCCTATAAACTACTTACATTAAATATTAGTTAATAATTTTTGATATACCATGTTCTCATTAGTGATATTCTTTATGATTAATACAAGTAAAGATAATAAAATAATCATTTATTTGAATATAGTTACCCATCATACTCAATGTTATTTAAAATATGAGCTATTATAATGATCATGAAAGCACTTAGATAATATCATTTTACTGTAAATTAAAATTTATCAATAACAGTAATACTAGTGACTATTATTAATTTTTGTAAATATTTCAAAATAATGTATCCATAATTAAATGTGCAAAATAAAATTACCATTTATGTACATAGAAATTTTTTATTTTTTTTTAATATAGAATATAATTGCATGGTATAAAGTTATAATAACAATAAAATCAGTTCTCTAATTATGAACAAAATATTTATTAGTACATAAGATTATTTTTATCAAAACTAAATTTAATTAGAATTTTGTTGTCATAATACTAGTAAAATAAGTAAATTAAGTGAAACATACTTAATGACTAAAAATAATACTTAAATCTAATATATTTATAAAATATAAGTCAACAAAGTTTTTGAAATCTTAGAAATTAAATTATAATAATGTATCCATCACACAATAAATATAACCATTTTGTCTAATAATATTTCATTTTGGTAACAAAAATGTATTGCAGACTTATTAGTCATAAGAATTTTTATATTTATATTATGAAAGACACTAACAATTCGCCCATCCTTAAGAGTATGTCAGCACAGTGTTTGTTTTCTCTTTCTAGTTTACACAGCCATAGATACAACATATTATTGACTTAAAATCATCAATGACATACTTTTGAGTATCTTACAATATTATCACCCATTATAAAAGTTATAGAGAATATTATTTATGAGGGTATAACATCAATTTGTCTAAATATTTCCTCATAATAGTTTAATATTTATTTAAATTTACTTTTTATTTTTTATTTGTAAAGTTGAGTAATAAAATAATATGAAATCTATATATCAAACAATAAAAATTATTATCTCTTGTAATTTTTGTAATGTATGATTTTACTCTGGAATTTCTTAAAAAATTATAAATAATTATTTTTATTTTCGCGTTAAAGAGATAAAACAAATATTGCACTGACCTCTTATTAACTAATAGTTAAAAATAGTTTAATAAAAATAAAATAATTATTAGTTTTCTAATAAGTGCACACTTGATTGTATCTAAATTACAAAAATAAATGTGATAAACATTAAATCGCCATTTAATAAATTTCAGCCATTAAAAGTACAACATTTGCCGACCATCCTGTAAATGGCCGAGTTCCTTTGCCTTTATGAATCAAACCTAATATATTATCTGATATTGGTTCATCCTCATATTGTTCCCACACATAACCAGTACGCTTCCATTCTTTGTACACACATTGAATCACATCATTGCGTATTTTATCGTATAACCGTGCGCATCTTTGTTTTGTTTTCACATCTAAATACCGAATTGGTTCCAAGTTTTCATATTCATCATTATTTGTATAAGCGGACTCTGTATCTTCAGGTAAATTGGCATAGTAGTATAAAGATGAACATGCCAAGTATTGCATATTAATCCAAACAGAGCCACGCCAGTATGGAGGGTCATGCATAGTATTTCTTACTTTGTATAGTGGTGAACTTTTTGACAAAGATCTCAAGCCACAACGTTTAGTCAATAAACTATGATTTTCAGTACTGTCATTATTAGTTCCTTCTATTAGGTCTAATATTGCATTTAAGCGCTGAGAATTCTTAACTAATCGAAAAAACATAGGAAATAGTGCATTATACCCCACATGTGAATCAACAAAACGCCATTTAGGAGCACTTTTTCGTCCCACTACCCTTACAGAATCTTGCATTCCTTTTAATTTTTCTAATCTGACATCATCTGTATGTATACCATAATCAGCATACATTGGAATTTTAGGTACAGAAGTTTGAGATGTGTCATTATTTCCCTGTGCCCAATGCAATCGATCTAAATTTTCGACCAACATCCAAAAATGTATCGAATATTTATTTTCAAATTTAGTTGTACCTAGTGATTGTAAATAATTATGAAGATTATTCATTATTCGTGCACCATGAGCCATCCAGCAATGTAAATCAACATGGCGTTCAGAAACGTCGAAATCAAAATCATTTTCTTTATTTAAAATACTATCGATGTTTGAAGTTCCATCATCGTTGACAGGATGAGATGATCTAGGGTAATCATCCATTCCCGAAGTTAATGTTTTCGGATTCAATTCCTTGTTAGTTAGTGCATCACGTCCTCTCCAACGATATCCAATAAATCTTTTATCTACATAAAACTCGGAATTGGTTGAATGTTTAGTATAATTATTTACAGCCTTTTGAGTACGGTTAAACCATGTATACCATGCTTTAAGTCTTGGATATAATTTTTTTAATGTATTATCGACTTCATCAAAATTTAATTTCTCATTATTACTAGGCGTATCACCTTTGGCATGTCGACGTTGTTTAATCTGTCTAAGTAATAAGTCGACAGTAAGAAATAACGCTGGTGGATTGGCAGCTCGTGAACTTTGAACTACAAATTCTTCTGGTACTCTGGATCTGGCTTCTGAGCCTAGAATCTTTGAACAAATATATTTAAGTATAACTAAAAATAATCAATATACTACAAAATAAATAAATAAGTTTTGTATGTCTTATTACCTGTTCTCTAGGTATCCATCCTTGGTGATTTAACAAATCCATCCAATGGCCTAAAATATGTAGTTGTAACTCAACACTCCATCTCCCCAACATTAGACCATGAAAACCATCATCCCATAAAAAACCTCTAGGAAACTGAGATCTTGATGGAACTGCTGTCAGCAGTCCGGCCCTCCAATACTTTACGGCATCCACTATATCTATTTCTGATACACCACCATTGTTTAAATTATTTTCATTATCATCATCCCTAACAAGAGATGATCCATAAAAGTATCCTAAGCTCCCAGCCATGTTACTAAAAGTAACTTTTGCAAAATCTAATAATAAAGATTTTTCAACTGTATCTTTCATTTTAATTGGAAATGTATTTAGAAATTTTTGTTGAAATCTATTACTGTATTCAGCGTGGACAGAACTAAATGTATTTCCTATTAATACAGGAGATTTGTCTTTAAATTGATCTGCATTTATGTACTTATTTTTTTGAGTGTAAGCTACATCTAGAGAATAACTTTTAAATTTAGATGTAATGTCTTTTTTACTAGTAGGGCTAATTGTTACTTGTAAAGCTACAAAATTTTTTAAAAGATTAGAGGTTTTGTGACTATTATCGCGTATACTATATTTCTCATCTACAAGCATTATTTGTGAACTAATTCCAGGTTCTTTTATAGGTTGCCGTTTAATAGCCATCAATTTTGCTAAGCATTGTTTCAACATAGCCATATTGGGACACCATGAACTACTAATACTTGTGTTTATATGCACCGTTGATGTACTAAAATTATTTGTATTGTTGGGTAGTGTAGGAATTATAGACATTTTGAAATCACTTAGACTTGGAGTAGAACCAGTAATTGTTACTAAGGGAGTTCCTAATTTACCATTTACACCTTTTTTTATCCCAAGAGAGTACTCTTCTTTATTCAATAACTGTTCATCTTCTCCGGGATCAATATAAACATACCATACTAGAGACACGGCCGACACTGAATTATTTGTTTCATAAATTATTCGTGTAGTCCAATCAGTATTTGATGTTTCTGTTTTTTCATTATTATTTGGCCTCAAAAATATAGTTTGTAATTTGAATCCATTTTCTTTTCCATCATTTATCACTTGATGTCCATAATTTACTGTATCGTGTTCCACATAACCATATACTAAATTTTCGTGAGCATTATCACACATATGACGAATTGAAGAATCTATTGATCCAGTTTTCATTAAACTTTGTTGTGTGTACCACATAAGACCAGCAGCGACAGAACCTTTTCCCAATGGTTCTTTAGTACGTAATCCAAAGTAAGCGCCTGGTCTGTAAGTTCCCCATACTGTTGAATCACTATTTTTTTGTATAACCTGCAAGAAAATAATAATAAAATGTATCATAAATATACAAATTACAATTTGTTGAACTGAATAATTACAATATAGTAAAGAAAAAATATCCATACAAAAATATTTAAAAATAAATTTGAATACTATTGAATACGTGAGAGATTTATTATTCTTTTTTTGGGTAAATATAAAAATAATTTAATTTGATTATTGTTATAATTTCTACTTAGTTAAATTAATCTTAAATTTGTAAAATTGTACTTATTGTTAAAAAATTGTTCATAGTTAAATTAAGGTAGCTAATTCATTTTATTGATTTTAATAAACATATGAACATGTGTTAAGACTTAAAAATAATCAATAATAGTAGAACATAATTTTCAAGGAAACATGTTTGTTCTATTAGGTTTTAACTAATGTAAATTAAATTGTTTTTTATGATTTTATTTGTTCAAATAATTTAAAATGAAATACTTTTGGGCCCTCGTAGGGATAGTTCACAGCACGTGTATCTAAGTATCCACGATAAGCCAATACTACAATTGCACACAGTAATACAATCGTTGACAATATCCATGTTCGACTCAATGTAAACTTGTCTTCATCAATATTGTCTCGATTGCTTTCAGATTGGGCTTTCAGTTGCCGACGTCCTTCTGTTTTAAGGATACCCTGGCGATCGATGATAGCAGTCGTCGGAGAAAATCTCACAGTTGAAGTCGGGGAGTTGGTTTTCTTTTTGACTGCAACACCCTAAACAAAAAACGATATTCATTAACATTATTGCACCGATCGAAATTAAATAATTTAGCGTCGTGACAATCGTTTACGTACCATGTCTGTAAACGCGATGCGACACTAGTAAAAAATTACAACACATAAATACGTGTGTCGTGTAATATTTAATCATAAAAACAACATAAATAAAAGTGTAATAAATAACCGTAATTGTAATAAACAAAAATTAAAATTTATATTATTCATCACATCACAACAATCACAATAACAGTTGACGTGCTGTGTTATCTGTTATCACTGTGTACACCGATACCGACTTATCAGCCGGGCGGTTACGTGGGCGAATTTTCAGATAATACGGATAAAAAAATAAAAATAAAAAAATTACGTCTACAACGATGCGTGCAGCCCCCTTTTTTACGTTATTTGTAAATTTTCACATTGTTGTAACGTGTTGGCGTAATGATATCGTGTCCGCCGCGGCGGGGGGAACCGACGAAATTCGTTCGCGATCGTCGTCCGTCCCGCCCGCCGTTGCACAGTCTAGCCATGGAGTTTCGGTTTTTTTTTTTTTTTTTTTGCACAGCTGCATTTCAATATCGGAGATGATATCGGCGGCGGCGGCGGCCCAGGCTTGTACGGATACGATACACACACACACGTACACGGTACACGCACGTACACACGCGTATGCGAGACACTACATGCACCCACACAATGCACGCCCGACCGAAGTAGTGCGATAATTGCACGCTCGCAGTGATTATAATATTAAAACATTGATAACGCGTGCCCTCGGTCGTCAGCCAGCGGAGTGAGCGGAGTGAGAGTGACTAGATAAAAAAAAAATATTGTTATTATTACCTACTACTTTGCTCAAGGAAACGGATTATAATAATAATAATAATTATTACACACATCGTTTGTTGTAGTAGTGTTGTACAGTCAACCAACGTTTCGTCGCAACGAATGTCGCCGTTCACCGTCGTCACCGCCGCCGCCTCCGCCGTTCACAGATCGCGATCGACACGCCGTGTGCACCGTTCATCATCACTATCGATACGCGAACACCATTCGAGCATTATGTTCTCACGGTAATCTGTAACAGCGAAATAATATTATAAATCCGTCGTCGTCGTCGTCGCCTACGTCGTCTACGTCGTCTACGTCGTCTACGTCGCTCCCGTAACAGCTACGGTCTTACTCGCTACATACGCTTACACACACACACACTTACTCACCAACACGCATACATATACATTTTTAACAGTCAAAGTACGCGTATATACACACACACATCACATCACATCACATCACATCACATCACACATCGCATCACATAACACCACTCTAGTTTTTTGCATTAATACCGTCTTCGCACTTTGGGTACTTTTGAACGACTCGAGGTCTCTTCTCGTCCGTCCTCGTCTGCCCGGTCGGTGCTCGACACCGTCAGACGTCTACGCCGACAGCCGCCCGTCACGCGTTACATCCAGCCATGGCCAAGACCTACGATTACCTGTTCAAGTTGCTGTTGATCGGTGACTCGGGCGTGGGAAAGACGTGCGTGTTGTTCCGTTTCAGTGAAGATGCGTTCAACACGACGTTCATATCCACCATAGGCATTGATTTCAAAATACGTACCATCGAAATGGACGGCAAGAAAATTAAACTACAAATTTGGTGAGTGCCTACCACCTACCTGTAGTTGTTGTTGTCTTGATATCGCCCTTGTCGCCAGGAACTTCACTTTTATGTTTTGTACTCGGCACTCGATCGGTTTTAAATTCTTTCTTTTTTTTTTTGCTATTGTTTGCCTTTTTGATTTCCAATGAATCCAACCAAATGATTGTTTTATCGCAGGGACACTGCTGGCCAAGAACGTTTTAGGACCATTACAACAGCTTATTATCGCGGTGCCATGGGTATTATGTTAGTGTACGATGTCACCAATGAAAAATCATTCGACAACATTAAGAATTGGATACGTAACATTGAGGAAAATGCATCAGCTGATGTAGAAAAAATGCTGCTAGGAAACAAATGCGAACTTAATTCAGGCCGTCAGGTAAATGCCATTCTACCTATATTATCCAATGAGTTCTATCATCCAGACAAAAAAAAAATAAAAAAATAATACTTCTAAATATGCGTATATAAAATGTTTAATTGAAAATATACCTTAAAAATATATTTTCATAATCTATTCAACTGAAGTTATGAAGTAAATTAAATGTTTTTTTTATTCATTTAATTTAGGTATCAAAAGAACGCGGTGAACAATTAGCAGTAGAGTATGGTATAAAATTTATGGAGACGTCAGCAAAAGCTAGTGTTAATGTGGAGGAAGCTTTTCACACTCTGGCCAGAGATATCAAAACAAAAACGGAAAAGAAATTGATTAGTTTTCTAAATTTTAATTCACACAGCTCCTACCTGTTGTTTATTCACTTTATAGAACATACATTTCATTTTTATTATGTAATAATTAACATATATTTTTTTTTTGCTGTATTTTTAAAACATCATCCATTGGCTGTTGCTGTCAACGTTGGATAATATGGACTTATTTTTTTAATTTCCCAATTCAATATTGGTGTTATATAGAAGGTTAGAGTGTGTTTGTGTGTTGCAAGTACGAGTAGTGTTGTGTAGTGTTTGAGTTTTAATTAATTGATTTTTTTTAGAATTTTTACCAATTTTAATAGTTTTATTAAAATTGAATATATAAATTAATGGAGTTAATAAATCAATGATAATACTTCAAGAGCTTAATCACACAAAAATCTTTGATTTTAGTTTGTTTGAACTAATTATTTTTATGTATTCAATTTGGTTTGGTTTTCATATTTGAACAATACTGTTATTACTAGTGGTTTCCAAACTTTTTTGATTTATGGAGCTGTTTTCAAATAAAGGTGTTTTTTATTATACTACTCCCTATATTAAAGCATTTTTAATTTTAAGAATGTCGGCACATCTTTTGGATTTCCAAATTATTTTTCAGGCCAAATATTATAATATACTAATTAGCTTTTTTATAGACACTCCTTAGTGTGCCACAATATACACTTTGGGAACCACTACTTATTTTCTCTATTTATATTGTTGTTAATTTAATATTTATTAACAAATAATTTATGTTTGTTTTAAGTTATTTGTAGTTAATTATTTAGTCATTCATTTTGGTTGTACTTTTGTTTTATTATTTATTTTGGGAATTTCTATTTATTGTTTTTTTTTTTTTTTTTGGTGAAATAATTGTTGAGTAGTGGCATTTTAGGAATACACAAATTAATAAGATTTATATTTTAATAGTATAATGTAAACATTTTGGTTTAGAATTTTCTTTATACGATTTTAGTTCTCACTACTTACATTTCTTATATACTCTTCAGGAAGCATCAAATCCTCCCAAAAGTGGTGTGCAATCTAGTGGTGGTCACCATTTAAGAGATAATAACGGAACAAAGAAACTTGGACAAGGTGGTGGAAGTGCAGCTGCACTCAATTGGTTGTCATCAAGATGTACAGTACTCTGACCACGATTAGCATATCATGGTTCAATTAAACAACAACAAATGTACACCTTGAATACCATTGTCAACATGACCGTTAATTAAAACAATTATTATATTGTCTTTCTTTAATAATAATAATTGTTTTTAATGGATATTGAATCTCTCCGGTATTATGTATTTCTTAATTATATGAAAATACGATCTTTCATTTTTTTTATACGTACAATTTTTTTTTTTAAATTGTAGAAAGTAATTATATAGGAAATATTTTGTTGTTTAATTAAATTGAAAAGCAATAATATTATAATTTCATGTTTATAATTTTCATTTTATAAGTTGAACAATTTATTTTGCAATATTTCTATCCAAGACTTATCACTTATTTAACTTTTTAATTGTCTAACTTATAGGTTATCATAATATAATATATTCTGTTTTTCAATAATTTTATATATTAGTAAAAGAAAAAAAAAGCCGCCGACGAAAACAACACATGTTCTTTATTATTTTATTTTATATATTGTATTATATAATAAATTATATATACAAAAACATAATTCAATACTTACATTATTATTACTATTACGATTTTTAATAATATACAATTATTCATACTAATACTATTACTACCATTATCCGTTTTTAAGATATATTTATATTATAAATATATTGAACATTTTCAAGTTGAAATAAGGTAACATCAAGTACATATTTTGAAACCTGATAATATAACATTAAACTAATATATGATTTACACTACAGGCTGAGATAGTGATATATTCATATATACTTAACAGTTTACTATTTTAGATTTATCCTCATCGTTTTACTACAACTTCACTGTCTCAATTCTATGTTCTTGTTCCTTCATCCAAAGTTTTTACGCTACCAAGTTAATTCCAACTACATACATAACAGCTATACACGATAGCACATTGAAAAATGAGTCCTATAAGCATCAGTCTGGTTATATTTATCATAATTCATAAAAGTGAATTTAGTTTTTGTTTCTTTTATCTCCCTTCTCTATTGTAAGTTATTTTTACATAGGTAAATTATGTAAGTAATCTGTTTGATAATACTTATGTGCTACAAGCAGAGTCGCATTAAACGTTTATTATCAAGCTGTTAAATCGATAATAAGAATAAAAATAAATCATGATTAGATTTTTATAATGGTTTGAAAACGTACCACCTAATGGAAAATGTTTAGTCTAATAACACTAAATGAAGTGATATTACAAACCTATTAAAGGTAATAGCATGCCACTTTTTGCATCGAAAGAGGATTATTTATAAAATGTAGGCAATGTAGCTTATACGAAATCAAATTATGAACAACAAGTTTGCTTAATAACAATTAACAAACTCAACCAATTTAAAAAACTTTTTTTTTAATATTTGCTGAGTGATTAATTATTTTGTATGAATTTCTAAATGTAATAAAATCAAAATCAATTTTCAGGACGAAATAACAAGTTATGATAAGTCAGTATGGGCAAGTAGGTACCGCTCTGTTGTAGTGTTGTACCTACGTACATCAGGTACATGCGTGTGCCTATTGATTCAATTTTAAGGAGGGGGAGGGCAAAACATGTCAAAAAAATTCTCAAAATATAAGCTAAATAAACTTTAATCTACGATTAATTTTGCGAATACCTACGAAGTCGTTAATACGACTAATGGCTATATATAGATATAATCCATACAGTGATAAAGAAAATAATAATTTGTATGCTTTTTGGGTAATTAGATTAGATAATATCTATAATGGTAATACTTATTATAAAATCATATTATTTTTTCACGTGGGGTGCAACCCCCCAATGGGTGCCCATGATTAGGTGTCGAGTTATGGGTGTGTTAAATTTTATTTCAATGATATATCAGCTAGGGTACACGAAAAACGATTCTGAACAAAAACTGTCTCTAAACTTATCACCAAGTTTATTTCATGGTATGTGTTTTTTTTTTATATATACAGCTATTAAAACCATTGATTTTACTTTTAGCATTATTTTGATAAAATGTATTCTTGTATTATCTACGTAGTATTTATTATTAATATTATTATAATAATATATAATATAAAATCAATCTATAAAATTCGAAATTTAATTTTACCTTTCTGTAAATACCGTAAAACAGCAATAATAGATTCATAATATAATTAGAAATTAGAAATTATCTTAAAATTAATTAAAAATGTCATTGCGTATAGTAAAATTTATAGCAATTATTTAATATATACGTACAACTTTTAAGTTCTTTTGAATGATGTTTTTTTTAATTATAACAAAATAATTAACTTCGTTATTTAATGTTTAAAGAATTAATTTTGTCCAAATTTAAATTTAATATGTTTATAAAAAATAATTGCCATCATATTATATTTTTTAAATTTTATAGAAATTTAAACTGCCTATGAGAAATCTTGTAAAAATAATTTTCAAAACTAAAATATAAAAAGAAAGGTTTTTATGAATTAAATCAAAATCTTAACTTTAAACATCTATAAAAAAAAAAAAAAACCGTGACTGCACTTTTTTGATATTTTTTAATTCTGAAATTAACAACTTATGAGGCACTTCGTTATATTTTCAAGAATTTCCGCTCTGTTAACTTTTTTTTAATTGATATTTATTAAAAAGAAACTAAAAAAATTTAATAATTCTCATGTTTTTAAATAGCATAAAAAAAGTCAAAATATTTTAAATTGTTTAAATGTCCAAATATTCGTTTTTATCATCAATTTAAGAGTTATTTATTATATGGTTTATAGAGATATTCATTTCATTTGAAAACAATTTTGTATTAAAAAGCAATTGTTTATAGAGGCTGGGGAAATGTCCAACATTTTCGTTCATAGATCCCATCCATTTACTACAAGTTTTTAATAATTTTTTATTCAAATAAATGTACATAGTCTAGACAGTTAAGTAAATATACGTACAGTACTTTTCAAATATTTATGTATAGTTATACTAGTTTAAATAGTATTACATAACTACTAAATGGATGAGTTAAATTTATAATTACAGTATAAATTGATATATTGATATAGGTAAGTAATATATTTATTTTAAAGTTATTTTTACAAGATAGTTAAAAATGACTGTGTGTGTATTTATATAATATTACCTATTTCAATCCAATTTTAACTTGAAAATAGGTAAGTAATAGTTAGGTATATAGTAAGTAGGTACTATGTATTTATCCTGCGCCGGTTGGTTTGTTCGACTTCATTACTTGTTTCACTGAAAACTTTTTTTCCTGTTCTGATTTTACTTAAATTACAAAATAATAAGTTGGTAAAGACATTCTTAAAATATATTTATATTTAGTTTATTCGAAAAAAAACTTAACCAATACTTCTGAGAAATTCGAATTCTGTTACTTATTAGTATATAAAATAAAAATAACTATAAAAGTTTGTATTTTTTTAAGTGTTATTGAAGTTTAATGATATACCTATGACGATTTTCTTCTAAATATAGGTACTCATGGAAATTTAATAAATCAGATATCGTGATGTTTTTAAGTTATTTCTCATTTTCACAATTTTATTACGATTATATGCAAAAAAAAAAAATAACACTTAGAAAAATGTTTTTTTACGTGAAAAAAATGATAGTCAATATACCTACCTATACATTAATATGTTTATGATTATTATGTATTATACATATAATATTATAATAGGTTAATAAGTATGTTGGTATATGTATATAATATACTATGTAGCATATAATTTATTCTTTGAAAAAATTGCACATTTTTTAATTAATCAAATGAAGCCAATGAAGGTAATCATTATAAGCTAGTAGCAAAAAAGATAAAATAAATAATATTGGAAGGTAGTGTGAATTGTATGTTTAAAAATAAATACTAGTAATATTACTATGAGGTAAGTAAGTATAAATAATTATTAAAATTGAAAATAATATAACGAAAAACTTAATTTAGTATAAAAATATGTTCATAATTATTATTATTTAATTAGTTTTTACTAAATATTTGCGATTTTTTTTACAAACGACTTTCAAACGGACAGTTTATATAGGTAACAATAATGGAAAATTAAGATTAAAAAATGTTAAGTATTTTCTCAGTCCCTCAAAGAATTGCCTTTTAATACTAAATAAATTGCTTACATTTTTACAGATGAAATGAATATTTAAAATAATATATAGTAGGTGCACACACTACTACTTCAGTATTTATTCAGACGTGAATCCAAGGAGGCTAAAGCGGATATTAGCCCCTCCTTCTTAGAAGTATTATATATTTATGAATTTATTTATGTAATCAATAAATATGTTTCAGAATTGGGACTAAATTTTGAGATCTATTAAATATAAAGCTGTATTAGGCCAAAATAGTATTTTCTTGTCACTTAAAAGTTCTAAAACGTACATATATTATATATATATATATGTTACAGCTAAAGTGTTGAATTCCGTTATTTTATGAAATAACTAGGCAGTTCATGAATTACCTACGAATGTTAGTTAAAGTACTTTAACTAGTTATTTCATAGAATATCTAGTTATTCTATACAATTTCAGTTTGATATCCGTTAAAGTATAAAATATATTAAAATTTAAAATATATATTAAAATATTTTATTTTACTGAATTAATTATAGTTATATTATTTATTTATTTGTACATGTAAGGCTATTATGGCATTTAGCATTGCACAATACCTCTTTTTTTTTCTATAAACACATCGTTTTGTGTCACATTTTTTGATACAAAGTGCACTTAAAAAAACCCTGACCAGTTACCAGTGCCTGCGCAGTTGCCATAGACCTTAATGTAATACTTTTATTTGGAACAGCTTCTACAGCTAACAAATTTTTTGAACATACTGTAAACTGGGATCGAGAGTATATAGTTGTTTATCACTCCTGTAATTATAATGTGTAGGTAGGTATCAAATAAATAAAAAATAAAAAATAACTTGTATTATTTAAGTGTATCTTACCATCATTGGATCCCAGATGATAAAACCCATCGACAATTAATTTTATAACAACTGCAATAATTGAACGAGGATCACCCCTTCCTTTATCAACATCGGAAATTTTGATACGCACTGTAGAACCAATATTAGCAACCGCAAATTTAGTATTTGATAAATCTTTCATTCTTTTTCCCCGT